TCCAGACCCGAAACGTCAGCTTTCCTGCTCCTATGATGCTGCTTGGCCTGCTGTGTTCATCCAGCTCTACACCTTGTTATCTCAGATTCTCCAGCATCTGCAGTTCCTACTATCTCTAAATTTAAGCCTGATGGTTTTGACAACATAGGACCAATCCTATTGTAAGGAATTGATATATCATTCAGAGTATAAAAGAAGGGGCAGTTGGGCAAAGACAGCAGAGCTAACTGCCACCTTCCAGAGTTAACAGCCTTCAACTCTCAAGAGACAATCATTGGCTCTCACAGACTCCTCTAATTCTCAGAGAAAGCACCATCTAAAGAACAAAGCTACCCATGGCACATCTAGTGAATATTCCTGACAGAAGAATTGACAGAGAAGTCACAGAACATTCCAGAAGACACACAACCTGGCTGTAATTTCAAGAGACTAAGTTTTACTCCTTTTTTTATTTTATTTTATATAAGTGGGACATGCATTTGTTGGAACAGCATATTATTAGAATCTTATTTTAATTGGAAATAGTTAGTAGTTAGAAGGAGTTTATTCAGTTTGTTAATAGTTTAGTTAATTTTTTCACTGTTTGAGTTAGATAAGTAAATTGTTACTTGTTAATTGTAAAGTGAGTGTCAGGGGTTTATTTTATTTAACCACTGGAAGTTGCCAAAAGGCAGGTTACACCACTTTCCACAATCCTTTTACAAATTGCAGGGTTCGGCGCACCTCTTTGGGTGTTTCGGTTTTAGTTCTTAGAGGGGGTCAACCTCCGTTTTATAACATCTTAAAAATATGAGTACCAGAAATTATGCAATATGTTAACTGCACTGACGCCATTAATGTGCAAGTAATATCAACAACTGACACTTTAGCTTTTGTGTTATCTGTGTATAACATACATGTCTTTTTAATACTTCTTGCATTTATTTATATACAGGGGGGACAGAAATGAGAAAGAACTGTTTTAAATATTACTGTTTGAATGAGTGGTTGTAGTTTTTAGAACCAAGTAACATGTTTTCTATGGCAGTCATTGCAAATGACTGTTTTAACAAGCAGTAATTGAAGATCAGATTGTAGACAACTTAGAGCAAAGTGTGTGCATTGAAGCAGTTCTTGTTGTCGACAAGAAGTTGGTTAGTCTGTGGACTAGTAACAGATATCAATAATGGATACCTTTTGCTTCCCAACAACTCTCCAATGGATTCTTGGGTGGCTGAGCAGCTTGGACATGAAAATTACTTATAGAAACAGAGAGAAACAGAGAGAGAGAGACAGAGAGAGACAGAGAGGAAAATAAATGTGCAGACTTTCTCCGAACCCAGAAGCTGCCTCTTCTCTGCAGTCAAAAACTCATTTTAAAACTGAAGAAAACCAGTTATCCTTCCTGCGTCAGTTGCTACAAGTTGTGACTTTAGAATTGATAAATTAGAGATATTTCTCAGGTGACTTAACCATTCTGTACTAATCATAAACCAATGGAAGCATCCAGAGAGAAAACAAAAATCTGAACAACAAGGAGTCTGACCAGCTGAAGAAAGATCATCTCTCCTTCGGAGCCAAGAAGCAAAGGCAGCTGAACTGACCTAGTTTTTCTACCTCTGCCAATCTATTTTCCCTTTTTGCTTGTCTCTATGTATGAATGTTTGTAAGTAGAAGTTTATAAAATTTATAAGGGGAATTTCAGTTAGTAGTATTATATGCCAATATTTATCTGTAGCTATAGTGTAATTACTCATAATAAATAATAAAAGAAACCTGGCCCATGTTTTCTACCAACCCTGAACTGAAAGTCAGCTAAACTGGGAGTTGAATGTATTTTCCCTCCATCTAACAAGAATAGCACACGTTAGAGGTTAACATTGAAACAATGTGATATGCACGATGTCTGTGCTGGTTCTTCACTGGCACAATTCAGCAGAGGAAGAGCTGAGTAAAATGTAAAACACAGGCTCTGGCTGTATCATTCAGTGCTCAAGGCTATTCTAATATATTTTCCATTAGTTTGACACCTGAGGTGGTTTAGCAAGGCTTGAGGAAGATCACTTGGGGCTGTCTTCAGCTAAAATTAAGGTCAAACTACAATTTTTAAACCAATGCCTGAGACATTTAATGACTCTGCACGTGACAGAGAAAACTATCTCATCATTCAGTGCAATGCAGAGGATGTCAAATCTGTATAGTATTTAAAGACATTGTCAATTTCACCGATTCCATTAATTTAGATTGTAAAATTGTGATGTAAGTACTTTTAGACATGATATTAAATTTCACACTTGTTGAGAAATTTAACAATTTTGCTATATGTAACTAGATCCTGCAACGATTATACCATGTTACCATGATTCTTTATTTCTTTGTATTTTCCCACCTGTTTTAGCATGAAAGATTTGTGATGTAATCACATATCAATATTATGGCTGTATTCATTGAACTGTTATTATTTCCCCTTCTCATGTCCTTTGGCTTTCATAAGGTGCGGACTGCTGATATCCTATGGGAGGACATAAGAATAAGAGTAAATTTTAGTCTTTTTAACAACAGGGGTAATGTGAGTGAGAGGTCAAAATCATGCCCAGTGCTTTTCTTCCTGCACCATTCACACCCTTGTTATTTTAATGATCTATTCCTGGCTTCACATTCGTTGACCAACATTGACAAGTTCAAATTACAAATCAAGTTCCAACAATGTCCTATCTCCTCTTCATTGCATTTTAACACGGGATTACAGATGCCTTACACATGCTAATGTTAGTGTGATTGGTGTTGCAGAGCTCTTGAAGCTCTTGAAGCTCTTGAATTTCCTTTTTTTGGTTTCTGGGATATGGGTGTCACTGGGAAAGCCAACATTTTTGCCCATCTCAAATGATCAATTCTCAATTATAATAGGTGGCCCTCAATGTCAACTCCCTGGATCACAGGATTTGTACTGTCTCGTTTGCAAGGAGAGTTGCTAGATTATGTCTTTTTTTCATACATCTACTGCCCTGCAACCCTCTACTTGGCACTTATTTTTAAAATTTTGTATGATAGCCATTTCCTGCTTTTAGAAAAGTAGCCCAAACCCCTCAAACTACATCAGATAAAGGGGGTTGCAAACAGAGGACTACTCCCAGCACAGAGTATCCACAGGCTAAGCTGCCTCACCTCTTGGTCTTAGGTAAGGAAGCGCTAATCACAAAGGCAGAGAAGGACCAGCAATTGGAAAGAATAGCAGGATGAAAATTTCAGAGGTGAATTATAGGTGAGTTTGTTGGGCCTCGAGGAAATGCCCCTTTTTGTGCCCCACAAGCAAGGGAATATCAAACAGTTTTATTCAAACATTAAATATTTCTTTAACAATAGCAAACAGTGCTCCATTGCTGTTGAATGAGATCCTGTAGGTCTTCCATAGCGTATTCAAAGTTGGTTACTTAAAACCATTATGATGTCATAAATTTTCATCTGATTGTTATTTCTTAACTTTCTGAGTTATCAGCTATGGATGTTCAGATCTGCTCAAGTCTGTGTCCTATTATGGAGAATTTACATATCTTCACATTTCCTTCCTATCTGTTTTTGAGTGTAAACATGCAGGAACGTGTAAATGGTAATTGACTTGTCAATTTTCAATTCAACAGATGTAGGCTCAGTTGAGGGTCTGGCATATCACAAAGCCTGGGATACACTTTACTGGACAAGTTCTACAACATCAACTATTACAAGACATACTATTGACCAAAACAGGTTTGGAGCTTTCAACCAAGAAATCATTGTTGCAATGTCTCCTAATGACCATCCTCATGTACTTGCATTGGATGAGTGCCACAAGTAAGAAGCTTATTTGCTTTTTTTTTTACAGTTCATTAGATATGTAGTATGTAATTGCCATTTTAATATAATACTATTTTCTCATTATCTAGCACTATATTAAGAGTATACAATTTTAAAGAAATTAATTTATTTGATACTTGTTGTTATGTCTATTTTCACTTCTCAGTACATGGAAATTAACATCTTTACTGTATTTAACCATGTGTATCATTCATAAAATCATAGAATCCCTACACTGTAGAAGCAGGCCATTCTGCCTACTGAGTCCACACCAACCCTCTGAACAGCATCCCACCCAGACTCAAACTCCTGCCCTATCCCTGCATTTCCCATGATTAATCCACCTAGCCTGCACATCCCTAGACACTGTGGGCAATTTAGCATGGCCAATCCACCTAACCTGCACATCTTTGGACAATGGGAGGAAACTTACGCAGACATGAGGAGCATGTGCAAACTCCACACAGACAGTTGCCCAAGAGTCGAAATAAACCCTGAGACTGTGAATCAGCTGTGCTAACCACTGAGCCACTGTGCTGCCCCTTATTCTTCAATAAGAAACCAAGAAATTGATCTGCTCTCAATTCTCTTGAATGGTGTTCTTAAATTTGAGACTGGGTGTACACAAAGATTGAACTCTGCCTATGACAAAGCAGATTGTTTCCATTTCATGGTTCCTCCAAATTGATTGGCTAAAATCCAGAGCTGGAGAATGATAGCTGTGTTTTACCTCTGTGTAATTACTTATTGAAACTTTAACACACTTCATCCTCACGCAGCTCATTAAAAATTTTATTTTGACTTTATCATCTTAATGGCACAGTACATTTTATGAAATATATGGGGTATCCCAATTGGAGAGCTCACAGAGTTGATTTCTTCAACACTGATGAATCTTTCGTTTCAGTTTTAAAATGAAATAAAAGCAAGAATTCAGCCATAATGAGTTCAACTGAAAATCGTTATAGTTCAAAACGTTCTTCCAAAGACAGGCTTCATGACACACCATCAAGGAAAAAAGTGTTATGTCTAGAGTATACTGCCCACTTTCTAAACCTGGATTCAGAGTATTTATGATCAAGGGACAAACAGAAAGAAGAAAATGCATGTTTGACAGGAAAACACATTCATTAAAAGAAAATATACTTTGATAGCACTTCTCAATGTGCTGAAGTTATGATCTTTCCATTTAAGTGTATGTTTGTTGCTCCATTTCTGTATGATTTGTGAAATATTGCATCATATTAGACTTAACTTTGAGTGATTGTGGTAAAAACATATTGTTTCAGCCATAAAGCAACCCAGCTTTAAAATAAAACTGAGTAGATCAATCCATTTTAGAAATAGTGTTTGTGTGAAAATTATCTGTGGTTTCATTTTGTTTTTATGTCTTTTTAAATACAGTTAGTACTTGCAAACTGAGTTCAAAATGATTTTTAAAATAAGTGAAGAGTAAACTGTGTTTCAGTTGGTTACGTTCTTGCCTTTCAATCAGAAGGTTGTGGGTTCAAGACCTGTTCTGAACTGGAGGATGACCTCCTAACCAATATTAATAGATTGTTGCACTGCTGGAGATGTTGTTTTTCACATGAGATGTTCAACCAAAATCTCACCTGCCTTCTAAAGTGAATGCAAAAGATCCTTGACTCTACTTTGAATAGGAGGATCATTACCACTATTTATTCCTCAATCAACAAAATGTAAAACTGATTATCAGATTATTATCACATTTCACTACATTGGACTTTTCTGTGTACAAATTAGCTGCCATATTTCCTACATTACGACAGTGACTATGCTCAATAAAATGATTCATAGGCTGTAAAGTATTTTGGGACATTCTAATATTAGTAAAGCTGCTACATAAAGACATCTTAATTTCTATTAGTCACTTAGCATTTACTGTATTGATTTAAACAACAATCCAATTGTAGCCTTCACAAGTAATTTATATTGTGTTAGTACTCATGATATGTTGAGCCATAGGATCATAATGGCACATTAGGCTTCTCAATACCATTAAAGCTCTCTGTAAAGTTATCCACTCAATCCCAGATAGTGTTTATATTATTTCTAATTGTTGCCAGACCTCTGCGGAAGTTATATTCCTTAGGTTTATATTTATGGAATATGAATGCTCTGCAAAACTACTTATTGATTAGGAACTAGCTTCATTCGGTGGGAATGAAAATTCAAACATTGCTTACAGCCAAATTACCTTACATTGAACGAGCCCAGAGTTGAATTGTTTCCTCTCTGATTTCTGTATCTTAAATTAATTGCTCTGGCAATCAGTCTACGATGCAAAACTGTTTGACGTTTATGGTAATTTACAATATCACTCATAAAACTAAACTAAAAGCTGTAGGAAATGGGCATGTGACATTTATGTGGCACTCTGAAATGTTTACTAAACTGCTTTAGTGAGGCTCACTGTTGTATTTCTTTCATCTCCTATTTGTCATCCTTCCTTGAAAAGAACATGTTTTTAATCCAAAGCAGAAACGTTAAAAATGTTTCTTCTTTGGATTAAAAAAATGTTCTTTAAAAGTGTTTCTTTGTCAGCATAAAGATAAGCCCTAGTTATAAAGCAGAGCTAAACATTGATCCAAAAAAATCATATTGCAGTTCTTATTGGGTTAGGGGGAAAATAAGTATGTTTTCTAAATGAAGAAATATATTTATATATTTTACTATCATCCTATTGATGCCTTTTCGCTGTATTCAATAAAATGAGACCTAATGATCCATGTTAAATAAATAATCAATAAAATACTGAACAATTCTAGGATTGGATTTTTGAGTCATAGAGTCATACAGCATAGAAACAGGCCCTATGGCCCACCATATCTATTCTGACCAACAAACAGCAAACTAGACTTACTCAGATTTACCTACACTTCATCCATAGTCTCCTGTGCACTGGCATTTTAAGTGCTCGTCTAGGTGCTTCCTAAATGTTGCAATGGCACGTGACTCCACCATCCTCTCAGGCAGACTGTTCCATTTATCAATCACTTTCTGGATGAAGAAGGTTTTATCTTATTGGAATCAAACAAGGAACAAAAATTGGTGCTGGGACTTTTGCTGTTTGTTATGTATATTGATGACTTAGATGTGAATCTAGAAAATATAATTAGTAAGTCCGCAGATGACGTGAAAATTGTTAATAGCAAGGAGGATGGTCTCAGGCTACAGTTTGATAATGATCAGCTGGTCCTGATAAGTGTGCAATGATGCATTTTGGGAAGTCTAATGACGGAATGATAAACACAATAAAAGGTAGGTCTCTGGGGAGTGTTGAGGAACAAAGGGACATTGAACAAGGAGCATTGATAGAACTTAAACTGCTTTTATTCAGTTAGTGCCATGGCTAAACTTATGTCTACCTGCATGGTTAAGTGGAGCTTTGCTTGTTGGCCTCAGTCCCACGCACAAATGAGGGCCGATGTTCTTCTCAGTCTGAAGATGGAGGCTTAAATTTATGACCCTTGACTCAAAAGTGAAAGGGCAACTTCTTTTTTCCCATTTTGCAGTTTATTCATAGAATCCCTACAGTGGGGAAATAGGCCCTTAAGTGCAAAAAGTCCACATTGACCCTCAGAGCACCCCACCCAGACCCATCCCCCTATAACGCACCTAACGTACACATCCCTGGGCACTATGGGCAATTTAGAATGACCAATCCATCTAGCCTGCACATCTTTGGACTGTGGGAGAAAACCGGAGCACCCAAAGGAAACCCACGCAGACACAGGGAGAATGTGCAAACTCCACACAGACAGTCACCCGAGGGTGGAATCGAACATGGGTCCCTAGCACTGTGAGGCAGCAGTGCTAATCACTGAGCCACCGTGCTGCAGTATTTGTTTATTTTAAAGTCAATCTATGCTATGAGAGATACTTCACAACATTGTGACATTTCAAAGTTGTCAGCTAGTCTTAAAAATATTTCCATTAAAACACTCTTGTTATGTTTCATTGTGAAAACTGTGTAAAATTGGTAAATTAGAATTATGTTATTTTGCGTTGAAATTATGCACAAAGAGTCCTTAAACATTGTTTTCAATGACTCAAATCAAATTACTGGGTAACTTAACTACTTTTCAATGAAAATTTGAAAATAAGGGTGAACATATTACAAGGGAAAAATCTAACATGTTATTATGTCACTTGAGCAACATAGATAAGGTGAATCGCCAAGGTCTTTTCCCTCGAGTTAAGGGAGTACAAAACTAGAGGCCTTTAAGGTAAGAGGGGAAAGATTTACAAAGATCCTGAGAGGCAACTTTTTCACACAGAGGGAGGTTCATATATGAAACAAACTGCCCGAGGAAGTGGTCAAGGTAGGTACCATTATAACATTTAAAAGATATTTGGACAGGTACATGGCTAGGAGAGGTTTAAAGGGAAATGGGCCAAGTGCAGGCAAATGGGATTAGTTCAGTTTAGGAAAGCTGGTCATCATGGGTGAGTTGGATTGAAGGGTCTGTTTCCATGCTGTATGACTCAATGGAGGGTTTTTAAATCATCAGATTGGAGGTGGCAGGGGGAAGGATCCCCAAGAAATAGAAGCAATTTCCCATTTGCAAAACTGGAAAGGAGAGCCTAAGCTCTCGAAGCTCCTAATGCACTGAATGCATTAATGACAAGGTAGCATACTGAGTTAGAAAACAGAAACAGTATTATGGTACCAATATGGGAACAGGAAAGGAATTTCCCACACATAGCTAAATGATAGAGTTAAAGGACAAATTAAAGCCATTTTCATCAGAGGCTAAATAGGATATTTCAATCAGCCCACTGGCCATTGAACTGGCAGAGATGTCCTCCCAGTGGTAGACAGGAATGTATAGAGCTCTCTGTTAATTTTAAGGCATCGCACATCCATCATACCGACCTGGTCTGTATGCAGCACTTAGAGAGTTTTCCATGATGTTGGTGGTCCATTTGTTGATAAATATGCTGACAGGAACCTCAAAATCAAAATGCCTGTATTCCCTCTTCATTAAAATGGCAAGCCAGAGGTCTTTCAGTGTTGGAAGTTCCCTCATTGTCCCTTAGCTTTAAGTGTCCATGCTCACTACTAAGATGGCAGGAAAATATTGAGTCATTAACTGGTTAATCAAGTTGCTGTTGAATGGCAGGTTGTGACAGGTTGCAGGGATAGAATCAGCAGATCATCCATATGACGACCTGGTTCATGTCTTTAAAGTTAGAAAATGATAGGGTAGTGAAAACAGCATGTTTCTTCTTTTGGGGACAGCATAACTGGAGACCATTGATAAGATTTAGTCACCAAGTCAGCCAATAGTAAATTCAGAAGATACCTCTCCATCAAAAGAGTGGCAAGAATCTGGAAATGATTATGTGATGATAACGGCGACGGCAAACTATTCATACAAAAACAGAAATTGCTGGAGAAACTGTTGGTACTTAGCTTCAATTATTTGGTTTCAGTACCAGACACTTTTCATCAACTATAAATAAAATTACAAAGGACAAATACTGATCTAAATGGCTGTTGTGATCACCTGACTAAGAAACTAAGCTCATGAAACTATCAGTAGATAAAAGATTAGATGGATCCAAATGAACATTTATAAAAAGGCACTGAAATACAAATCTGTGTTACATCTTTCCAGAAGTTCCACATTGATAATTAAAGGTTGTTTCCCCATCTGAATACACTGCAGACAATCAGCAGACTCAGAAATACATAAGTGAATCTGTCAATAAAAGCAACAGAGCAGATAACAAGGAAATATTAATTTGTAAGCAACAACCGGAAGGCAGTCTCTCTCTCAAAACCTCAAAAACAGCTGCCCATTGAAAAATGAACTTCAAACAATATCTTTTCAGTGAGATCTTAACTTCAATGACACTGAAGAAACAAGACAACAATTAGATATTTAAGATTCCGGTTTAAGATGTAATATCTGAAAAACTCATAAGAATTTTAAACTGCAGCTGCGAGTACCTTCTTGTCTATCAATCGACACTTTTCTGCTGCACTCTTCTTAAGCTTAGTACCTGTGTGTATATATGTTTTAGATGATGTATGTTCTCACTTTTTTCGGTGTGGAATAGGTAATAAAGCTCCACACTCTACCACTCGAGAAAACCAAGAAATTGACTGTTCTTCACTTTGATTTGGTTTACAAAGTTTAATTGAAGAGTTTCAGCTACAGCTTAAACGTTGTTGCAGACGAGGTTAAAAAGAGGGGTGAAAGTTACCCTTCCTCACCTGTTAATCATAACTACCACAGGGAGTGGTTGAAGTGAATAGTACATGACATTTAAAGGGAAATTAGAAAAGCATTTGACAGAGAAGGAAATAGAGGGTTACAGAAATTGTAGATTTAAAGAGAAGTTGGGGAGAAGTTCAACTGGGACCTTAAAGCTGATATGTACTGGTTGGATCGAATAGCCTGTTGCTAGGCCATATATCCACTGTAGTTCTGTGAAAATGTTGTGGAGTCACTGTGGGTCGTATTAATTTAATTGTTGCATACCATGAAAGCAAGTTCAATTGTTTTTTGTGCACTAAGTAATGGTGAATTAATTTTAGGTGACACAATGATGACTTGTGTTACCAAATAAAAATGGAATTGTGTAATTTATATATCAGTGGAGTTCTAATTTATTGATAAACTGTCAAATGATATTTTCTGCAGTGGACTCAAGATGCTCTTTACAAATGAATTTGATTTGATATGCTTTTTCCTAACGTCATACAGCTTAATGTTCTGGACAAACTGGAATGAACAACAACCAAGTATAATGAAAGCAACCTTGTCTGGAGGAAATGTTCAAGTCATTGTCAGCACAGACATTTTCACACCAAATGGACTGACAATTGATCATAAAGCAGAGAAACTGTACTTCTCCGATGGCTCTGTTGGACGAATTGAAAGGTGTGAATATGATGGGACACAGCGATATGTAAGTCATTAATTTTATATTCAAATATTTTTTAAAAAGTTGAGGTAGCATCTGATCTCATCTGTAGGGTTTCTACATGAATTATAAATGTTTTAACTGACTGTTACATCAGTGACTGATGCATGTATTTTGTGCGTGCAACAATGTGGAAAAATTTACGGTTATGCACTTTGGCAGGAAGAACAGAGGAGCTGAATACAATCTAAATGGAGAAAAACTGCAGAAAGCAATGGAACAGTAGGATTTGGGAGTTCTCATTCATTAATCACAAAAAACCAGCATCAATATTCAGTGGGTAATAATAGGGAAAGCAAATAGAATGTTGGTCTTTATTTCAAAGGGAATGGAGGTTATAAGTGGAGATGTCTTGCTAAAAATGTACAAGGCACGAGTCAGACCATAGCTTGAACACTGTGAACAGATTTTTGGACCACTAATTGAAGAGGAGTTGATGGCCAAGTGGTATTATGGCTAAATTATTAATCCAGAAATTTGCTAATGCTCTGGGGATTCAGTTTCAAATTCCACTATGGCAGATGGTGCAAATTGAATTCAACAAAAATTATCTGGAATGAAAATCTGCTGATGATCATGAAACCATTGCTAAATATTAGAAAAAAACTCATCTGGGTCACTGATGTCCTTCAGCGAAGAAATTCTGCCAGCCTCACCTTGTCTGGCCTACATGTGACTCCAGATCCATAGCATTTTAATTGACTGCACTTAACTGCTAGCAAGCCATTCAGTTGTATCAATCTCAACAAAGAAATGAAACCCAACAGACCTAGCATTGACCTACGAGCCAGAAAAGAAAACAAAACAAAAGAAACAGCCCTGTTGACTCTACAAAGTCTTCCTTACTAACGTCTGGGGGCTAATGCCAATATTGGGAGAGCTAACTCACAAACTAGTCAAGCAACAACCTGACACAATCATAGTAATGGAATCATGCCTTACAGATAATGTCCCAGACACCACCATCACCATCTGTGGATATGTCCTGTCTCACCAGCAGGACAAACCTAGCAGAGGTGGTAGCATTGTGGTATGCAGTTGGGAGGGAGTTTCCCTGGGAGTCCTCAACGTTGAATCTGGACCCAATGAAGTCTCAGGATAAACACAGACAAGGAAACCTCCTGCTGATGAGCACATGCTGTCCTCCCTCAGGTGATGAATTGGTACTCTTCCATGTTGAACAACACTTGGAGGAAGCACTGAGGATGGCAAGGGCACAAAATGTACTCTGGGTGGAGGATTTTCAATGGCCACCAAGAAGAGTGGCTTGGCAGCAGCACTACTCAGTGAGCTGGTCAGGTCCTAAAGGACAAAGCAGCTAGACTGGGCCTGAGGCAGTTGGTGAGGGAACCAAAGGGGGAAAAACACGTTTGATCTGATTCTTATCAATCTGCCAGTTGTAGATACATCTGTCCAATTGCAGTATTGGTAAGAGTGAGCACCACGCAATCGTTGTGGAGGCGAAGTCTTGCCTCCACGTTGAGAATACTCTCCATTGTGTTTTGTGGTGCTTTCATCATGCTAAATGAGACAGATTTTGAATACGTCTAGCAAATCAAGTTGTGTATCCATGAGGTCATGAACGGCAGCACAGCCTGCAATCTCATGGCCCTGTATATCCCTCACTCACTAATTACCATCAAGCCTTTGGGCCAACCCTGGTTCAATGGAGAGTGCAGGAGCAGCTCTGGGCATACCTAAAAGTGAGGTGTGAATCTGGTGAAGTTACCAAACAGGACGACCTGCATGCCAAATCAGCATTAGCAGCAAGTGATAGACAGAGTTAAGCAATTCCATGGATCAGATCTGTACTCTACAGCCCTGACACATCCAACAGTGAGTGGTGGGTGGACAATGGAGGAGGCTCCACAAATATCCCCAATCTCAATGATGGAAGAGCTCAGCACATCAGTGCAAAAGATAGGCCTGAAGCAATCTTCAGCCAAAAGTGCAAATGATGATCCATCTCGGTCTCCTTCAGTAATCCACAGCATTTTAGATACCAGTCTTCAGCCAATTCAAGTCACTCCACATGATATCAAGAAACAATTGGAGGCACTGGATACTGCAAAGGCTACGGGCGCTGACAACGTTCTGACAATAGTACTGAAGATATGTAATCCAGAACTTGCCGCTCCCTTAGCCAAGCTGTTCTAATATAGTTACAACACTGGAATCTACCCGAAAATGTGGAAAATTGTCCAGGTATGTATATAAAAAGAAAGATAAATCCAACGTGGCCAATGACTGCCCCATCAGTCTACTTTTGATTATCAATCAAACATGATGGAATGTGTCATCAAAAGTGCTATCAAGCAGCTCAGTGATGCTCAATTTGGGTTCCATCAGGGCCACACTGCTCTTAGCCTCATTACAGCCTTTGTTCAAACATGGACAAAAGAGCTGAATTCCGGAGGTGAGATGGGAGTGACAGCCTTGACATCAAATTTGCATTCGACCATGTGTGGCATCAAAGAGCTCTCGCAAAATTGGAATCAGTAGGAATCAGGGGCAAACTCCTCGCTGGTTGGGGTAACGCCTGGCATATAGGAAGATGGTTGTGGTTGTTTGAGGTCAGTCATCTCAGCTCCAGGACATCTCTGCAGGAGTTCCTCAGATTATTTGGTTTGTTTATTGTCACGTGCATTTTGTGACAAAATACAGTTAAAAGTGTTGTGTAGTTTTGCAAGTCTAGGGCGCCATTTTAAAACACAGAAAAATAAACCAAAAATAAAGCATAAAGGCAGAAAAATAAAGAAATAAAGAAAAAGTGTTCAACTTTACAATCCTTCTTGTTAAGTGCTCTGCCATGGTCCTCTTCGCCGTCCCACAGCTCAAACAAAAGTCGTCACTCTTCAGCATCATCTCACTTCTTCTAAACTCCTCACCACAATGAGCCCTTGCTGGTCCTTGCCAGTGCAGATACCACCAATGTCACTGGGTAACCCACTGGCTCCAACTCGCCTCCACTACCGCCTCCATGAATCTGTGCTGGACGCCGCCATCGCCTACAGGAACCTAAACCTGCTTCCATCCCAGCAGCCATGAATCAGCGTTAGGACCACCTCATTGATGCAGGAGCCACCAGGAACCCAAATTTGCCTCCGATGCTGCTACCATGAGTCCGTGCTGTGTTCACTCGAGTCTGTGCTGGGCTCACTTGCCACGATCAATGCAAAGCTGCAGCCATGCTCTTCAACAACAGGTAAGTAAAATAAAAGAGAAAAAAGAGGCAAAAGAAAATGAGAGAGATAAAAAGTAAAAGAATTGGAAAGAAAAGCGGACAGAGCAGAAGACCCCCGTGCTCAGAAACCCTACTCCACTGCCATCTTACCGGAAGGGGAGTGTCCTAGACCAAACCATCTTCAGCTGCTTTATTGATAATCTTCCGTCTACCATAATGTCAGAAGTGGGAATGTTTTGACAATGGTTGCACAATGATCAGTGCCATTTGTGACTCCTCACATATTGAAGCAGTCCATATTTAAATGCAACAAGAATCTGGGCAATATCCAGGCTTGGGCTGCCAAGTGGTAAATAATATTTGTATCACACAAATCCAAGGCAATGACCATCTCCAACAATTCGACCACAGACCCTTGACATTCAGTGATATTACCATCACTGAATCCCCCCACAGTCAAAACCATTGAGGTTACCATTGGCCAGAAACTCAACTGGACCTGGCCATAAACACAGTGCCTACAAAAGCACTTCAGAAGCCAGAAATACTGCAATGAGCATTTCATCTCCTGACTCTTCAAAGTATGTCCATCAACAGGCACAAGTTATGAGTGTGATGGAATACTCCCCACTTGCCTGGTTGGGTGCACCTCCAATAACATTCAAGAAGCTTGACACCATCCAAGACAAAACATGCTGCTTGATAGACACCAGATCCACAAGCATTTACTCTAGCCATCAGCAATGCACAGTCGCAGCAATGTGTACTATCAACAAGATGCATGGCAGAAATTCATCAAGGCTCCTCAGACAACACCTTCCAAGAACACAGTACTTCCATCAAGAAGGATAAGGGCAGCAGACACATGAGAACATTACAATGTATAAGTTCTCATCCAAGCCACTCACCATCCTGACTTAGAAATATATCGCCGTCCCTTCATTGGATCAAAGTCCTGGAATTCCCTCTCGAAGAGCATTTTGGGTCATTCTACAGCACGTGCACATTCAGGGATGACAATATTGTTGAATATCAAGGGTCTGTGGTCGAATTGTTGGAGATGGTCATTGCCTTGCATATGTGTGATACAAATGTTATTTACGACTTGGCAGCCCAATCATCTTTTCAAAGGGAACTAGGGACAGGTTATGAATTCTAGCCAGCCAGCGATATCCACACCTCATGAGTGAAAAATAAATAAAAACTAACATTGATGGAGGCCCAGTAAATGTTTCGCGCGGCTGATTGCAAGTTTGGAAGGATTGTCTTATGGAGGATAAGTTGGGTAGATTGGGCCTGTGCTGGTCAGGAAATAGAAGAATGAGAAGCAAATTGATTCAAACATACATTCAAGAACTTAACAAGGTAGACACAGAAAGGTTGTTTCTGCTTGTGGGAGAGTTTAGGAATTAGGGCATATCTTAGAATTGGGGGTGGGGTGGTCAGGCATTTAAGACAGAGATGAGGGGGATTTTCTTCTTACAGAGCTTTGTGAACCTGTGGATTTTTTAAAATCACAGACTGGGTGATTGAGTACATTCGAGACTGAGATAGACAGATTTTTAATCTGTAATGGAATCAAAAGTTATGGGAAAAAGCAGGAGTTGAGGATTTTTTTCATTCACAGGATGAGGGCATCACTGGCTAGGCCAGCATTTATTGCCCATCCATAAATGCTCACAAGGCAGTTAAGAGTCAACTACATTGTGTTGGGTCTTGATACATGTAGGCCAGACCAGATAAGGACGGTAGTTTCCTTCCCTAAAGGACGTTAGTGAACCAGATTAGTTTTTCCTGACAATCGA